TGTATTATGATCAAAAATATATTAAAAACAATAATATTGTGAAATATTATTACAATTTAAAAGAACAGTTCTCTCTCTCTCTCTCTCTCTCTCTCTCTCTCTCTCTATATATATATATATATATAACTATGGTAATTTTTAGGATTCTTTAATGAATTTATTTTAAACAGAAATAATTTGTAACATTTTAAATGTTTTTACTGTCACTTTTGATTATTTTAATGTGCCCTTAATGGCTCGAAAGAAGTATTAATTTCTTTAAAGGAAAAAAAAAAAAAAAACTTGCTCTAACCCCAAACTTTTGAACGGTAGCGCATAGATAGATATTCATTTTCTTTCAGTCTTCATATCCTCTATTTGTATTATTAACCAGGTCATTTTAGATGGTGTTATTGTGTCTGTTATGCAATAAGAGTGTAATGTTCCTCCTGAGAACCACTGAGGAACCCACCATAATAGTATTAAGAAGCAAATGAGGCAGAGTGTTTTATTTACGAGCCCACGCTGGCCACACGCTCTCCTAAACTGCAGTTTTTACTCTCCCCTGAAATTAACGCAGCTGTTTTGATGGATGACATCAGCATGAATTAGGTGTAAGTTTGTGGGGCCATTACGGTTCGGGCTGATAACCTGTATGGGAGTATAATAGGCAGACAATTTTTCCTTGTTTGTTGATCATTAGTGGTAATTAAGACTAATCTCTCCCCATCTTTCAAACTTAGTAGGAAGCACATTTGTAACCATGGTGACTGTTACGATCTCAGCATGGCGTGAGAAGTGTCTTTGGGAAGCTTCCTAGTAAATGCTTGGCAGTGACAGTTATAGAGGCCCAAGGTCCTGTCCAAACCAAACACCCTCATGACATTTCATCGAAACATTGGAGGACCTTCCTACACTTCGGCTCCCTTCAGTGATAATGGCTTAATAAAAGATTTAATGGGCTTCAGCATCGCAGTCCTGTGGCCATAAAGATGGACTCTCTGCTCATCTCGTCACGCTAATTGATATCATTATGTGTCCAGAGCTTCAGGAGATCTTTAAGGGTTCAGATATGCCTGCTGAGATCTAAACGGAACATTTTGGGGGATGAAGAGATTACATTTTATCTCTTATATTCATGATGAACTTGTGGTGAGACACCCACAGCTCGGTGAGTTTACCCATAATGCTCTGTTTGAGAGGGAGAGGTGCACCATCTGCTGGTTAATGTGTTTATTGTGGTGCTAAAAGTGTGGGAGTGAAAACTGTAGGTTATGAGGTGAAAAGTCAGAATGATTTTAGGAGCCCACGACAATTCCAGCAGGACTGATGTGGGACTACACCATAATTCAATGCCTTTTATGACAAAATGTCATACAAACTTTTTATTATACTTTTTTTTTTTGCTGTTGTGTCTTTTGTGTAGGATTTTCAGCGTTAATATCTTGAACTGAGTGAACATGAAGACCAGTTGTGTTTGCCACATGACATTCTGAACTATGTACATTTTTATATTATACTACAGTTAAAATAAAATTACTATTATTTGTGTAAAGCAATGTTTTTGTTTTCTGAATTGTTGTTAACATTCAATCTTCTGTGCATACTAAAAATGGTATTACAATGTCTTTTTGGACATGTTATCATGGAAATGCCATTGTTGTTTAGTGATGCAATGTAGTATTACAATGGTATTTTATAAAAGTACAATATTTTTTGAAAGAAATTAATACTTTTAGTCAGGAAGGATACATTAAACCAAACATTATATTTCTTTTTTTTAATTTCTGTTCTTCAAAAAATGCTAAAAAAAAAATGATCACAAAATATTAAGCAGAACAACTATTTTTAACATTGATAAGAATATAAAATGTTTATTGAGCAGGAATAAATGGAATAACTGAAATTTTAAAATATATTCAAATAGAAAATGTTTCTCTTAAATTGTATCTTTTTTTCCCCTGTAGATATGATCAAATAAATGCAGCCATGGTGAGCATAAAAGACTTATTTCTAAAACATTCTATGGACCCCAAACTTGGAGTACCATGATTTTATGATGTACACTCTTAAAAATAAAGGTGCTTCAAAAGGTTCTTCAAGTGATGCCATAGAAGAACCATTTTTGGTTCCACAAAGAACCATTCAGTCAAAGGTTCTTTAAAGAACCATCTCTTTCTTACCTTTTTATAATCTGAAGAACCTTCTTTCACCACAAAGAACCTTTTGTGAAACAGAAAGGTTCTTCAGATGTTAAAGGTTCTTTATGGAACCATTTAGACAAAAAGGTTCTTCTATGGCATCGTGAAGCACCTTTATTTTTAAGAGTGTAGTACCATGGGATTCATAGTACTTGTTTGTAAGAGAAAGTACAATTTGATAAAATCAATAAAGGTATATCAAATAAAATAAAAAAAATAAAAAAATAAATAACATCTCTGAGATATACTGTACATTTTTATTTATTACTCAGTCCAAACATCAAGTGAGGCATAGGAGTTTGAGTGTGCACACTGCTACCAAACAACACACTGAAGGCAGATAGCGCTGTGCAACAAGACAAGTGACACAAAACAGTTTTCAGCACAATTCACAGAAAATAACTTTCTGTTAGGATGAGATGTTTAGCGGTGACTTTGTCATTTGAACCTGCAAATGTCATGAATCAAATCTCACAGAGCGTTGTGAATGCAATTAATCCAATGCTTAAATGCTTAAATTAAACTAAGGTCATCATGACATGAGATTCACTTTAACTTCTGTGACATATATTCTGTGACAGAGATTAACTTCTGTGACATATTTTTCAGTGAAACAGGGCAGAACTTCAGGAAGTCCCATTGGGAAATGATTGGATAGAGAAAAGAGGGTGTTTCTGTATCAGAATGGAGTCCGGGATATGAAAGTTAGGAGCATTTTGATCATAAAGGTAATGCTTTTCTTACCCCAAAAACTATAGTTATGTGCGATGTTTGCCGTAACCGTTACATATTTACTATGTGGAGAAAGGTACAGATTGATGAAAGATTGCAAAAGACCATTTTTCATGGTGACTTAAAGACATAAGCCAGAGTTTTGGCATGAGATTTAATCAAACTGCACGTTTATATGTGTTCAAAAGTTTGGGGTCAGTAAGATTTTACTTTTGAAAGAAATTAATACTTTATTCACCAAGGATGCATTAAATTGATCAAAATTGACATTGAAGACGTTTTCTGTTTCAAATCAATGCTGTTCGTTTTACCTTTCTGTTCATGAAAGAAATGTATCACATTTCCACAAATTAAGCAGCACAACTATTTTCATTAACAATAAGAAGAAATGTTTCTTGAGCAGCAAATCAGCAGATTAGAATATTTTCTGAAGGATCATGTGACACTGAAGACTGGAGTAATGATGCTGAAAATTCAGCTTTGCATCATAGGAATAAATTACATTTAAATATATATTCAAATAGAAAACAGTTATTTTAGTTTATTCTACTGTTTTTACTGTATTTTTAATCAAATAAATGCAGCCTTGGTGAGCACTAAAACATAAAAAAATATTAAAACATCATATGGACTCAAAATGTTTGAACAGTAGAGTGTGCATAAATAAGATTTGGTGTACAATAAGGCTCTTGAACATTCATCCACTCACATGACATCCTCCTTTGAGTGGGTCAATGAGGTCACATGACCATTGCAGTTCTAACAAAACTCCTATTAATTAAAGAAAACAGGACTGGAACCGAATTATATAACTACAAATAAATCTTTGAGTCCAATAAAGCAGCTGAAATGTCAACTTATAGACGGGCTGTATGCTGGCCAGGTATTATGTGTATGATTAATACATCTAGAAACAAAAGGCTGAGAGTTTGTCACTGTGACATTAAAAACTGCGGTGGAGTTACATGATGGTGACCCTCTCGGGTGAAACATGGGCAGCGGGTCTCTCGTGGTTGGTGCGGCTCTGACTGGAGTCTAATCCACACCTGATCCGCTTCAGCTTCCGGCTCACACAGGGAAGCAGCAACACCACTTTTCCTATTATCACCGTGACAGGCAGAACCAGGGCCAGGACGAAATTGGGCGGCATGTAGAAGCGATAAGACTCCTCCAGAAACGCCCGCTGCCAGCCAAAGAGCAGAGCGTGGAACGTGGAAATGAGCAGGGCGATGTAACCTAGAGTGGACTGACAGGATATAGACACTTGTTTGACATCTTATTTGTCTGAGGAGCATAGAACACTGAAGCTGCAAGATTGGAGGATGGAGATTGTCTTACCTGGATAAAGCTAAACTCTCGCCAGTTGAGTGCGCTGTGTACCGATGGAATGAAAGTGACAGCTAATAGAGAGAGGAGCCCCAAACCCATGATGCCAAAGGAAAGGTACATCTCCACTCTCCAAACTTCCTCTTCATTCCACGAGTTCTCTATGTTGGCATGCACCTACAGAGAAAGACAACATAAGATTTGTTTATAGGATATATTTTTCATTTTCATTTTTATTTTATTTTATTAAAATATTTTACATTCATGCTACCATATTATATATTGCCATATTCCTGTTAATATGTTTTTATTTTTTATATAAATATAAATGTATTTAGATATATAAATGTATATTAAAAATCTATTTTACATACACAAAATTATTTTAAATGAACACTTATGAAAGTTTTATAGGTTTTGGTGCATAAATATATAAAAACTGGGGAAACATGTATTATTATTATTATTATTATTATTATTATTATTGATGATGATAGGCTGATATAATGCTTATATAATCAAAATAAATCTGAATCTGAACTACAACAACTGAATTTGCTAAAACATATATTATTAATAACCGTAATAATAATAATATAGTTTATTATATTTATTTATAATTCATTTATATATTTATTTTATATTTTATTGACAATATTTATTATTTTTATTATTATTATTTGTTTTGTTGTATCAGTATGTATTTATTATATATATATATATATATGTATGTATGCATATACAGTATTTATATACATATTCATCTGTGATGATTATTATTATTGTTATTAATTAACAATGATTATTAATTATGATTATTATTGATAATAACAATACATTATTTTATTAATATGATTGTATCTCTATGTATTTAATTATTTATTAACTTTTTATGATTATTATGATAATGATGTTATTATTAATTAACAATTACTATTATTAATAATAATAATAATAATAATAATAATAATAATACAATAATTAACAATAATAATGTAGTTTTCTATTAATATCTTTGTATCTCTATGTATTAATGTATGTATTTATATATTTATGTTTATATTTTATTAACAATTATTATTATAATTATTATATTAGCAACACATAATGTGGTAGGGGGGAAAAAACAATAACACATCTGCCACAGTGGAACTGCTGGATCTCAGCGATGTGAAACACACACAGACCTGCTGATAGGCCATGTTGAGCATCAGGTATCTCTCTGAGCGTCTCATGGGCAGGCAGACGCTGTACAGCACGTGAATGCAGCCAAAGAAGAAACTCAACAAACCAAGCTGTTTGCGGCTCTCCAGCCAGCCCTCCAGCCAGGGCGGGAAACGGCGGTACTTCGTCCCGTAGATGAGCTGGTACGCAGCAGCAAGCTGTCCTGCTAAATACACCAGTGCTAGCAGAACTATGGCCACTAAAGGCAGCGTCCTGTTCGCTATTTCCAGAGGAATCTTGTAGAAAAAACTCTGTCTGCTCTTTATATAAGGATGGATGATGTCCCGCACAAAGGAGTAAGCGAAAAAGAAGATGGACAAGGCGACCGTGGTCAGAACAGGTCCTTTCCAGGCGGTGAAGAGATGCAGTGGCATATTCTCGATCTCTTTGGCAGAAGAGAGGGCGCCCATGTCCACAGGGATGAAACTGAGCTGACGGGCCAATTCAATGAGCTGCTGTCGAGCGTCCACTGAATTACTGCAAATATAGACCTGTAGAAAGAGATTACAAGCAATCAATAATCCTTCCTTTCAAAACATGCATTCATTCACAGCAGCAGTTAGGCTGATATATTGGTGACCAAATCATTGTTGTCCAATTCCAGGTTAAAATTAGATTTTGAATGCCAAATTTTCAATGTGGTCTCAGACTGGATCCCACTATATATTATGCATGATCGTTTACAGTATGAACAATTTCCTAGAACCCATAATTAGAGTGGAATTAATTCACTGAGTTTATACAGTTTTAAAATTAGACTGTGAGATAAAAGCAAGTTTATGGCATGGCTGTAATGGATCTTTGATTGTGTTAATAAAATCTTTTCCTCTTTCAGCTCACAGAGCTTCCACAGAGGGCGGCTCATCTGTTCATCATTCTAACCAGCTGCTCACAGAAAGTACTGCAAGACATTTACTTTCACTGCTGGCTGGAAGAGGTCTCTGCTAATACGACAAGACATAATCCTCATCATCATCTTCCTCCTCCTCATCTTCATTCCGTGGACACTAATTCACTTCAGGAGTGTCATTAGCATACTGAGGGCTATAACTTGTTTTTGACCCACAGCGTTTCGCACACTGTTGAACACAGCACCAGGGTCTGTAATATTTTATTTTTGTTTTATTTTATTTTGCCTATACTGCAGTTATAGAGCAGTAAAACAGTGTAGATCAGTGTTGTTTAGTAAAACTAAAATTGTTTTAAAATATTTTTTCGTTAACTGAAATAGTTATAGAGCAGTAAAACAGTGTAGATCTGTGTTGTTTAGTAAACAACTATTAAAAATAATTTTTCGTTAAATAAAAGGTAAAAATGAAATAAAGTGAAATAAAGGTAAAATAAGACGCAAAATTTAATGAGAAATATTGCCTTGTCAATTAACTAAAATAAAATAAGTACTAACATTTCTGAAAATAAAACTGAAATAATAATATAGCTGAACAGAAATAGTTAAAAAAATTATTAAAATTACAAAATCATATAACAGAATTACTAAAACTAAATTTGAAAAATGAAAACATAAAAATTAAAGCTACTTAAAAATATTAATAAATAAATCTAAGTACTAAAATTACTAAAAATAAAACTGAAATAAAAATCAATTAAAGCTAAACAGAAATATTTTTTTAAAATAATTAAAATTACAAAAGCACATAACAGAATTAATAAAACTAAAAGTGAAAAAATAAAGCAAAACTAAAAGTAACTTTTTAGTAATAAAATTACTTAAAATAAAACTGAAATAAACTAATTAAAGCTGAACAGAAATATTTAAAATAATAATAATTACAAATGCATGAAAAAGTAACTTCAGAATATGAATAAATACTGTAATAGTACAGAAATAATACTTAAATAACACTGGTACTGTATAGATCATAAGGACTGAAATTGAGTCCAGGTCGAGACACCGTGTCTGGGCTCAGATACACCTTGGACAGACTGTTCTGAAGTTCTGCCAAAACATCTGAACAGAAACATTGTGAGCAGTGTGTTTTAATTTAGACGTTCCTGAGTGTCGTGGCTGTCGCAGTTCACTGAATTGTGTACAACATACCTGTCGACTGGAGTCTCTGGGGCCTGACTGCATGGCCCAGGACGAGATCACATTGAAGCCTTTGACAACAATGGATTCTGGGAATAGGGAGGCTAGGTATTCTGCGTTTGATTCTGGATACTGGTTGACCCTTCTGTTGTTGCTGACATCCACCAGTATTTTTCCAGCCAGCAAATGCTTGATGTCCCAGAGGGAGGAATAGTGCTCTCGGCGAATGGCCAGTAGCACGATGTTGGCCTTTCCCACTGCGTCCTCATGATGGGTCACATCTACCACGTGCGGGAACGATTCGGCTGCTCTCTTGGGCTGTCGGCTCCCCACCACCACGTGAAACCCACTGCGGAGCAGCCGGAGGGTCAGGCTTTTGGAGAAGTCTCCAGAACCGATGATGCTGACCGTGGGCTTGCCGGATCCCTCTTTGGACCCGTTCTTCAGCCCGTATGGTAGGAAGCAGACTTTGGTGCTGGCTGGGCTGCTACCCAGCAAGGAAATAGAGTCCATTTTCAAGCCCGAAGCACCTTGTACTGGATCTTAAGACACTATAACGGAATAATGCTTTGTTAAATGAAATGTCAGATGCATATATATATATTTTTTTTTACAATTTAGTTAAAATACAATCTCTTTAAACTCGTCAAGAACCCAAAATAAAAAGACAAATATATTTTATTTTGAGATGAAATATGACTGGAAACATCCTTTCCGGAAATATTTTTACAAAATAAGAAAAAAAACAACAAACAACAAATACTACTATGATTTAAAAATACTCTTGTCATTTTAATTACTGTATTATATATATATATATATACAGTACACAGTTATTTTGTAGAAATGTGTCTGGAGTGCATTATTTTCAATATTGTATTACAGTGATGGGAATCTAATGACAATCATCATTGATGATTGAATTTTAACAATTATAAATAAACTCGCAAGTAAACTATAATCTGGACGCATTACAGTAGTAAGGATTGAGTGGGAAATGTGCCTAATTGTCATAATATAATACGAAAATGTTAATAAATGATATAATTAATAAAATAATAATAGGGATGTAACGATTACCGGTTTGACGATAAATCGTGATAAAACACCCCACGGTTAGTATTACCATTTCATATTTTAATTATCACTATAACCGTATTCGATTACCGCGATTTGAACAACTGAGGATAAATAAATACTGTACTGCACAGGGCTCCAGTGTGCGACCAAATGGGCGCATTTTGCGATTAATTTTTTCTGCCGGTGCGACTAAATTTTGTGTGTGGTCACACTGGCGCGACCACCGCATTGTTTAACTCATAAGCGCTGTTCTGTTGCATGTGAGAAACGTCAAACGGCAAAAGAAACTGAAAGCATAACGAAACCGCGCGACTCGTTTGCGCTGCGCAGCCCTTCGAGTGTAGAGCCTGGTTTATTCTCGCCGCGTCAGGAGCGCGAAGCTGCGTGCAGCAAAAATGACGTGAATATTGAGGAAACGATGGATGGGTTTCATGCTAAAGTAAAGTTAAAGACCAGAGGTGAACATGTTGGTTTTCTTGTGGGACAAAACCATGCAAGCACTGTCACCGACAGCAAGTTTAGTTTTACTTTTCTTTTTGTTTTCATTTTGAAAAGCTTATCTTTGCTGTTTACCTCACGCTATGCTATGGAGGCTCTCTTTTTATTTATTTGATTCCTCAGTGTTTACTAAATGTTCTGTCATTTATTAGTCGATATATAATACAGCATGTGGTGTACACCATGCCTCGTCTTATTCGTTTTTGTTAATAAAAGTTTTATAAGCTAGTTTGTCATCGTATCTTACTGTTTTATTGTTATTATAATGTTTAATTAAGAATAACAATGAAGCCATCTTTTGTTTTAGTCTTAAAAAGTGAAAGGTGTGTAGATCAAGAAAACGGACCGAATTAGCATGCCCTGCTGTAAATTTTGACCGGTTGATGAAAAACAAGCTTATGTGGATTCTAAACCTTTAAACAATAAGGTATCTAGTATTATTTATGGAGCAGATAAATACCTATAATCATTTATTAATCAATTATCATTTTGACTTGACCCTTTTCTTTATTTAAAAGCTGAAACGTGAGGTTTACCATTCATGAAACGTTTTCCAAGCTTTATTTGAACATTTACATTAGATATTTGAACATGCTATTCGATAAACTGTTGTCAGTCATGTTGTCATTTAAAATCCGGACATCCTTGGCAATGTTATTGTTTTAGTTATGCAAACAAAAACTCATTGTATTTGTTGTTTGTTGATTTTAAATGTAAAACTTGGTGAAATGATTTATGTGTCAGTACTTTTTGAACATCTCCAGCACATTTTAACAATACCGTGATAATACTGATAGCCGTGATCATTTTGGTCACTATAACCGTGATAAGATTTTCATACGGTAACATCCCTAAATAATAACAATAATAATGCAGTAATAACTAAATAAATAATAATAAGATTGCATTTAACATAGCTTTATTATTAAATTAAACAACTATATTAAGATCCACAGGTTGGTTGGATGCGTGTATGGTTTCCTCATAAAAACCTGTTTTAAAATGTAAAAAGGTATTCCAACAAAGAATAGAATAGAATATGGAATCAAATTCTGTAGCCTATTCCTCAATACCATGATGACATTGAAATCTCAGACAGGCTGTGTGACCTGTTAGAGGACCAAATATGATTGTTTGCTCATATGGAAACAACAGTACATGAATCTTTTTTATTATTATTATTCATCAAAGAAGAACAGAAACAATATCTATATATTTATATAATATCAGGGGCAGGTTGCTCTGTAAATTACGCATTGTGATGGTAGAATAGAGCATGACGCACCCGATTTATTTGTAACTGCGAAAAACATCTCAAGGTTATAACGTTACCTGTAATGGAATCTGCCGAGGCACCATCGAGCAAACCGAAGGGATGCGTGTGTCCCTCACCGGTGACTGTGTGCCCGCCCTCTGTCCGTTTGATTTGCAGTGTCGGCGTCTCTTTCATTGGGGGCCAGCTGTTTCTAGACAATAGCTGTTATTTTCCTCTAGGGGGCGCGTGGAGGCTCATAAAGCTTCAAGATAAGTTGCCGTTCTTGTTTATTCTATTTCTATGCTTTTATACGTCTTGAAGTTGCAGCATGTCTCTGATCTGCTGTGAAGACAGCCCTCTGCGGTAAGTAGGATACACCTCTGGGTTGATCTAGGCTGGTAACTCAGTGTAGGTTATAATGAAAAATGTAAGCATGTTTAAACTTTTTCTAAAAAAATGCACATACAATTAATGCAAATAAAATACACTTTAGCCGTTTAAACCTGTTAGATATGCAAATTATGCAATATTAAATATGCACAAGTGATAGCCCACAGAAAATGAAACTTATTTTTGTTATAATGTGATCAATAATTCACAACCTACTCTCATAACATTGTTTATTTAACAACATTTACATATTTAATTTGCATTTGGGGAAATAAACAAGTTTTGTGCCCATTTTTATAAAATGCCTTATAAGAAAAAACTCTGACAAGTACCCCAGTATAAAATAAATCAATGCGTTATAAAATAATATTAATAATATAAATTAAATGTTTTTTCAATTTCAATTAGGCCTGTTTTCTCATTTCTGGCCACAGTGAATTGCACACCACAGGTGAACAATGAAAGAGCAATGCACTGGGACAAAACCCTTTCAGCCAAACGCTAATGACATTTGCATGGGATTGAAACAATTCATTATAATTAAAACCCCTGCTATGGGCTGTACAACAGATTACTGGAAAAACCTGCAAATAATGACTCTCACTCAGACAGTACACTGGTTCAGGTTCAATTGAAAATCTTAAACATATGAATTTTCAGTTCAAAGAATAGTGAATAAAATATAGTAAAATATAAATATATAGATAAAATATAGTATTTATCCATATTTAGATATATTTACCTATCTATATAGATAGATAGTTAGATAGATAGATAGATAGATAGATAGATAGATAGATAGATAGATAGATAGATAGATAGATAGATAGATAGATAGATAGATAGATAGATAGATAGATAAAGATATAACCAGCCACACACACATATGGGGACAATACAAGTAGACTGTGACATTTACTGCTTGACTTTGTGTCAAAATCTGTGATACCTTAAGGTCCTTTGGCAAGAGTGTGGACCGAGAGAGAGCCAGCAGGAAGAGCATGCTGACGACAACGTGTCAATTTCTCCAAAAATAGCATCTTCGCTCTTTCCTCCAGTCCTCCGACGGGTTCACGCTGCTGTTTACTCCTCTTCTTCTTCAGCTTCTGTGCAACGTCAAGACAGCAGCTTCAGGCCTGCAAAGTACAACATGCTGTTCATGACCACAATGCTGAAAGTTGTGGGACGGGTAATGCTGAGTGTGTGCATGGAGGTCAGAGGAATATCATATGACTTGCTGAAGAGGATGTTAGCGTACAGTTTATGCAGTGCACTGGTAAAATACAACTTATTTAGGGGTAAAGCTTGGTTTGAGGCATTTGTGGCTGCTAAACCATGTTTAAAAACCTGTGGTATCTGCAGATGTTAAATGGATCATTCAAACTAAAGATATTTTGAGGAACATTGAACCCCATTGACTTATTGTATGGACAAAAAATGTTGGGTCCAATGTTCTTTAAAACATAATTTTGTGTGTGTGTGCTCCACAGATGAAAGTAAGCCATAGAGTTTTGAAGCAATTTTCCTGTTTCCTTATCTGTCTTGTCCAAACTGTCCTACAAAAATTCACCAGTGTTGTGTTTCCCAAATCCCTATAATGTTTGTTTCAGTTTCTGATCGTCAGTTTTAAAGGACTATTAAGAATATGAGTCATTTTTTGTGGCCCCACTTTATATTAAGTGGCCTTAACTACTATGTGCTTACATCAAAAATTAAGTACAATGTACTTATTGTGTTCATATTGTATTGCAAAACACTTTTGCTGCTATTGAGGTGGGATATGGGTAAGGTTAGGGACAGGTTTGGTGGTATGGGTAGGATTAAGGGTGGGTTAAGGTGTAAGGGATGGGTCAAATTACAGAAATTAATTACAGATGTAATTACATGCAGGTATTTTTAAAAATATAAGTACAATGTAAAAACATGTACAGTATGTACACAATAAGTGCATTGTACCAAATTATTAATTTAAATGTACTGTAAGTGCATAGTTGTTAAGGCCACTTAATATAAAGTGGGTCCTTTTTTGTCCTCAGGGGAAAGGACATCAGGGAAAGAGGGACTTGAAAAAACCCACTTTAAAAAACGTAATTGTTCTTACTTCACTCAGACTAGAGACTACTTTTTGAGCTCAACATTCACACACCCTGTAGGCCTGTTTCTTTTTTGAGAACTCAGTTGATGGTCTAATTAAATTTGTCAATTTCCCTTGCAGCCTCACTCATGACCATCCTATGATTCTGTTTCTGTGCTGTAAAGACCTCTGGAAAACTTTCAGCTCTGACTAAACTAGTTGCAGCTGAGACTAAGAATAATCATGCGTTTCTTTAACTTGCTCTTTATTGGTATTGTTGCATTAGGAACATTTGAATTCTGCTCTGCTGGACCTCTTCATGCGCAGTGCAAAGTCGAGTGGTAAAGTAGCTACTCTTTCATGTTCCTTATTTATTTATTTTTTTATTTTTTTATAAAAAAAAAAGCTGCATTAAAGATTATGAAATTTTTAGCGTTAGATTTGCTTATAGAATTTAAACAGTATAGGCTTAAATATAAAAACTTAAATATATTTTAAGTGTATTTGTTTATATTATAATTATATAATGTTTATATATGTAGATGTATTTGTTTATAAATGTTTATATATTTATATTTGTTAGAGGGTTATTATAGTTAAGCAAAACTTAATTAAAACCATATAAAACATTTTTGTTACTTGAAATAAAACAAAATATTTTAAAAAACTAACTTTTTTATTTTTATTTTTTGTTTACTTTAACCTTGAGTTTATTTTATCTTGATGTACTAAAATAACTAATATGTATATATAAAAATATAGATATGTTTAAAAATAATAGTAAACATGACAAAAACAACAAAATTACTAAAACTTTAACTAAAATTTAAAATGAACATGTAAAATATAAAAATAAAAACGAATTCAAATGTTAATAAGCTATAGTATCTACTAACACATGACTGATTTATTTATAAAACAGTTATAAGGGTTTGACTTGATAACTTTTTTTTTTAAGAAAAAAAAAGTTATGAAATATTTTTATAAACATTAATCTGGGAGTTTTTGCTGTTTTGTTTGTTTCCAGTTGCTTAAATATTATTTTTATAAAACTACTTATATTTGGTTATAATGTTTATACGATATTTAATGTATTTAATTTCTAAGTATTCTTATGAATTATTTACTTTAAATTCGTTTTTTTCTATATTTTGCCTGTTTATAATTGTTTTGTCACAAACTTGTGATATTTTGGGGAAAATTACAGTTCAGTTTTTTAGTACAATGGTATAGTTTTATGTAACTACATAAAGTAGATGTGGAGTTTAGGAAAAGGCAATTTGACTGTACTAAATTAATTTTAGTGGTCAGTGCAGTAGCGTCGGTTTCCACTAGAAGGCAGCATTTGTATATAGTTGAGCTATAATAGGGCCTTTGAGAACTTGTGTTTGGTTTTTCCCAGGTATTTCGGTCTCCCTTGCAGGAGTGTGTATGAAGCTCTGGTCACACAGATTAAAAAGTGGAGGACAGTCTCAACCTGTGCCATGGGAGGAGAGAAATGTCTCTACAAGGTGTGTGCTTTGACATAAAGAGATGTGTTTATGCATCAATGTAAATGAGATGAATATTTTGCACGTTCTCTCTCTTGTGTAGTTGCAGTCTGCATCTGTGCACTTCATATCAGCCAAACACACAACTCCAGTAAAGAAATATGTTGATGACATCAACTTCAGACTCGTCTCCTATGGATTTTTCACACACTGCCATGTATCTGTTAGTGTTTAAACAGACAATCAACTAAATGTGACTTAATTTTATATAGGAATATCACTTTTGACCGACCAAATAACCTATTTAAACTTGTTCCCCAGGCCATGTCAGTGTCAGAGACCTGGTATGCTGTCACAGATCACGGCACCAACTACTGTAACCTCTACAACTTAATAGAAGGTAAAATAGGTCAAAAGACAAAACAGCAGGCTGCATCTGATTGAAACGACACTAATGTAAAGACAAAACCAGCTTCTGAGGTGTATTGTCTGTGTGCAGGCAGTGGACTTACTGAAGCTCCAGGATACACAGAGATCACCAGTGACTTCCTGTGCACCCAGCGCTCATCTGCTAACTGTGCCGTGTACTAACACTGAAACATGATCACACTTTTTTGTATCCTGTAACTTTTTATTTCGACTTTTGTGGCTTTTAGTCATATTTAGTAGATTTGAGGTCATTTATAATATCCCCAAATTTGACTAAATAAGCTTTTAACTGATATACACATTTAAAAAGTACAGTCTTTTCCTATGAACATGGACCAGAACTATAAGAGTTTTTGAAAGAAATTAATACTTTTATTAAACAAGGATGGTTTGAATTAATCGGAAGTAACAGTGAAGACTTTTGCATTATTTTTATTTCAAAGAAACACTCATCTTCTTCTGAACTTAATATTCATTAAACAATCCTGAAAAAAAATGTATGACCGTTTCCACAAAAATATTAAGCATCACATTTTTTTTTAATATGTGATAATAATAAGTGTTTCTTGAGAAGCAAACCGGCATATTAGAATGATATCTGCAGGATCATATATTAAAATAGAAAATGGCTATTTTAAATTGTAATAATTTTTTACAATATTACCGTTTTTTACTTCTTTTTTTTTTATCAAATAAATGCAGCCTAGGTGAGCACAAGATTTTCTTACAAAGACATTTTAAAATTTTAACAATCCCAAAGTTATATTTTTCCC